TCACCTTTAAAAAAAATACCTTATAGTTGCAGTTACAGAACAAATAATTTACTGATTGCATCACTGAATTCCATTGGTTTCTAGCTCTCATGGCATTTCCATGGCCCACATTACTGTAGCAGCTAAGAACCTTACAGACATTCATGGATTTTATTTTCTAAGCATAATATGAAGTAGAAGATGATATTCCCATTTTACAGAAGGGCAACTAAGGCATAAGGGGGATTTAGTGATTTACTTGAGGTGTTCCAGACAGTTTATTCTTGAGCTGGGTACCGAACTTAGTAGATTTAAAAGGTAAGTAATTTTGAAGACCTACACCTTCATGCAGGATTTGGCTTCCTATCTCGAAGCACTAAGAATGCAATAGTATTTCAACAGCATGATAGGTAAGAGCATTAGGACTTACAATGAAATAAAGACAGAATTGAGTTTTAAACTGTATTCACTTAATACAGATTCCAGTAGCACATCAGACTTGAAGAAACACTGAGTTCTGAACTAGACTGTGCCCAGATGATTTCATAGAAAGCCACAGAACAATGTAACAGCCCCCTTCCAGTGGGAAGCAGATTAATTTATTTTCCTCATGATCTTAAAGAGGTTCTGTTCTGTTTCTTTTTTTTCTGTAATTTCCAGTTGCTTCATCACGACTACAGAGGTTAGACAGCTCAACAGTTCGTACATACTCATGCTGACAAGACCTAGCAAAGAAGCCAGCACTGAATTGTGAGTATTCCTAAGGGGGACCATCATGAAAGCTCTTTGTAACCGTACACTACACCCCACATTATCAAAGCAAGAGCCAACATGAAGCAGAGGACATAACTAAAGACTCACTAGCGTTGTCATTTCATCATGACAACAGTCTTAAGCTCAGTCCAGCTGATGCTACCAACAATAACATTTTGAGGAGATGGCAGTGGGCACAGGCAATGAATTTACTTTATGAGAACTCTTTTGAGTTCTACCATGAGCTGGGGTGGGAGGCAAAACTAGTAAAGCAGAAGATATTTACTTCTATTTTTTTCTTTTTTTTTTTTTTTAATTAAAGCTATGGCTCAATTTAGAACAACACGTAGTTGTTTAATGCTAGAACAAAACTTCCCCATACAGAAAATTTTGCAAAGTTATCTATTGCAGACATTTTTGCACTTCTCAAATAATTCAGAATTGACAAAGAAGGGATATTCTGAGCTGGATCCAACTCTGAATCAAATTTAGTACTAGAATTCATGTTGCATTTTTCACCATTTATCTTTTGAATATAGCTATGAATATCACAGATTAACTGTTCCAAAGTTCTGTGGAAGTTATAGTTTTCTACTTCATCACAAGTTTTGCAAAAAATCCCAACATGATGAGCATTTTCATCAGTATGGCACCATTTCATGCTAGTATTTTCTCAATAAAACAGTTTTCCTTTTAGTTACATGAGGACTTGTAAGGGAGCTGGAAGTAATATTTTGATAGCACCAAAACCTCACCTGACATCAAACATGGTTCAATTGTTGCATATTGAAGGCAAGGCATGCCAGGATCTGCAAGAAAGTAGGAAGTTTTTTGTTTGGTGGTGGTTGTTGTTTTTGTTTTAGATCCCCAAGACTGGGACAGGATTGGGGCCATCAAGATTTTACTAACTGCATAGGTTCAAAAAGTGCTTAGGAGTAGTAAATGATAACAGTGGGAACAGTAGATTGCTCAGGATCCTACTGATGACAGGAGCCTTAGTTCACAGATCTTCAGGAGACTGCAAGAGTATAAAACCTTAATCTTAAAAATGGGAACTTTCCATGCCACCACTGAAAAAATAAGCACCAGGGGAGGTGTGGTTTTTTTTGGTTTTGTTTTGGTTTTGTTGTTGTTGTTTTGTTTTGTGTGGTTTTTTTGGGGGGTTGTTTGTTTTATTTTCTTAAAAAGGTAAGTTTAGCAGCTGGTCCTACAAAGATGATGATGAAGCACATAAATTATAGAAATCTTTTTCTGTGTATATATGTATAGATTAGTGTGGTGTTATGTCAGCCAAGTCAATGACAGGACTTTCACTGGGTTCAGTGACAGAAACTGACAGCAGAGGTGCGTACCTTTTCTCCTATGTGCTTCAGAACTATGTACTGAAAACAGTAAAGTATGACCAAGAAATTAAGTTCAAACACCAAGCTATATATTAGGCCAACAGTAATAGGTGAGGTTTGAAGAGTGCAAAAAAGGCAGAAACTGAAATTTGATATGCTAACAAAAATTAAGATTATCCAAACTATTTATTCCCAATATATTAAAAATCATCTAAAAAGTAGCAAATGAAAATCATAAGTAAAGCAAAAGACTTTTCTGGCACTATTATACCAAACTTCAGAATTTAAAGAAATTGCCTGCTCAAAGATGAATGCATAAACAAGAACTGCTCATATGGGGAATGTGATAAAGGACAACAGAGGAGTTTTCAGAATTTTGTGACCACAGTTCCTGGGTAACAGTTTCTTCATGGGAGGAACTGATTGATACTTGAACTAAAGGGAAGATTATTCACACTTCTTGAAATTTTCCAGATCCAGCATAGACTAAGGCCAGACTTGTAACAACTTGCACCATCAGCAGCTGTGTTACTGTGGTGACTAACATATCTGCATTCATAGAACCAGGGACTGATTCTAACTGAGCAGCAGAGGGCAGGGACAGCTGGATGAGCTGCCACACAATAAAGATATTTTAAAAATTCTAATATAATAAAGGGGAATATGCATACAAAGAGTAAGCGAAAAAGTGAGCTGCAAACAGACTGCATGTGGAAAAAATGCTCACGGCCTATGATCACAGAAGGCTGCAGATTCTTGCATTCTGCTACTCTTACAGAGATATTCCCTTACAGAGATTGTCAAAGCCTTGAATTTCAAAATAATTTATGCCAACAATACCAATTGGATACAACCTTACAGTGTCTTACAGTGTTTCTTCACAGCAGCTGTGAATCACTCATATGCTTTCAAATTGCATTTCAGGTGGGTTTTTTTAGACATTTGTTGAAACCACGACGAGCTGCCAGGAACCACGAACAGACATTCTCAGAACAGTTACATGAGTATACTGTGAGCAACCTTGTTCTAGTGCACCCTCAGTATCAGAAATTTAAGAACAATTAAGACTGCTGGTGCTGGCCATATGTTGCCCAGCTGAGCATCTGCAATGCCACACAGCCTGTGTATTTGGCACTCACACTGCCCAAGCTTTCCCAATGCTTTTCTCTTATAAAAACACTTGTCATCACCAAGTCAGAAGGCTCAGTCAGGACAGTTTTATTGCCACTGGCTGGGGCAGTAGAACATACCAGTTTCACTTCTATTCTAATGAAATAGGGGATTTGGCAAAATCAGTGATGTACTTTACAAATTGTCTTTGGAACCCTTCATTGGTAAAGACAAATGGGGGAAGCAGCATTCCAAAAAGATGTGAATGATAATCTGGAAGCAGCCGGTCCATAGCAAAGAAATCATCAGGGTGAAAAAGGTAAATGCTAAAACTAAACCCAGTGTTGAATTAGGACAGCAAGAAAACAACTATAAAATGAATATAAGCAGCAGTCTATTTTGATCTAGGACAAAAATCAGTATACATCAGTAAAATATTAAAATGCATTATTAATAGGTCTGTGTTGCAGATCTAAAATTAAACAAATGCATGCTTCCCACAGATAATCAAAGCCCATGTTTTAGTAAAACATGCAATACTGTAGTTAGTGATATATTTTCTGTTGTCATTGCATCATAGACCAAATTAGAATCAAAGAATCTCACTAATTAATGCTTATTTTTTTTCCCCTTAGATGTCATCTCTTTCTTCTTCTTTACTTGAAGTGCACTATCACTACTTAGGAAAAGAGCATTAAAACTCTCTGCAAGAACAGGGTAATAAGGAAGAAAATACATAAGGTTTATCAGACAAAAACATATGATGTTCCTTTCATGTACTGGTTAACTTAAGAATAAAAAATACCTAAATTACTCTTAAAAAAGAAAAACAAAACAACCTCCCTTTTTTTCTCTCAGCATCTCTGTCATCAAAAATTTGGCAGTAGTGCACATCCAAAGCTTTTATTAAACGAAGCCACTCATCTTTACATTGTTCCATCTGTTTTATTGTAAAATACTAGACATTTACGTATTTACTGTGTATGTATTTCTTTTAAAATGTGTAAGTCTTATGTAAATGGATATAAATATGATTTTTTAAAAATAAAATCTATGGTACATGGGGTCTCAGTGCAAACATTTGACAATACAGTGTCAATAATACTGTTTGTATCTTTCCATTCCACCATTTTTACAGTTTTTGGATTGTAACAGTCAAATGAATATGTTTAGCAGAGTTAGAAGCTTCAACTGAGAAAAATCTGTCAATATTAAAAGCTGAACACCTGCCTCTGATGATGTATAATAGAATGACATAACCTGGAACTGGAGCCAAAATGGACCTCTAAAGACAAAATGGAAATGTCAGATATCTATAGAGAAGTACCATGATGGCTCACCTCTTAAAAACGTACAAATAAACCCAGGAGAACTGTTTATAAAAAAAAAAAAAAGGCAATTTAATAAAACATGATTTATACAAAAAACCAAAAACTTTCTTCTATGTTACCTGTGGACCAAGAAGAATCTTGTTTTACCAAGAGCCACCTTTTTGTTCCAGGATCTTGAAACACCAGCCAGCATTGGAAAAGTAAATCTAATATTTGCATAGAATCAGATTCTCGTTTTCAGATATATTCAACAAAGAAAGACAAGAGAAGCCAAACCCCACCATTTCTTCATTCTAACAGTGCATTAGGCTCCTGTCTAATGTTACGCTTTTAGCCAAGATGGCCTTGCTGAGACTTCACAGAAGTCAGTTTTATCAGAGGAAATAACTGAAAGACAGAGTGATTAATATATAATGTATAAAAGATTAGAAGAGCAACTATTACCTGCTGTGGCTTTATTTGGTGGTGTTATTGTTGTTTATTCTTTGTTTAAATGGGAAGTTTCAAAGTAAGACCTACTTAATAGTCATTTACCTATTTGCTATTTTTCTGCTGCTTGATCTTAGCTCAAGACCTGTCTTTTAGTTATTTCTTTTAGCAGTTTGATCTGCAATGTTTGCACGTACATAAACATTTGTTTTGTCTATTTTCATTTGGCAAACTTCGGTCAATCAGATGGTGAACAATTTTTCTCCCCCAATGTCAATAAAAAAAAGAATTCAGTGCTATTTGTGTTTATAAGTCTATTAAACTTGGTACGTAGGAGCACTAGATTTGGAAACCAGATGCTTCTCATAGCTACGCATAAGCACATTTTGACACGAACAGGTCTGAATCACGATGGAGTTACTGGTCAGAATCCGCCACGAGAGGGAGCACTGAACTTGCTGATGGGTGCGATATGATGGCAGAGTTATAACTGTATAAAGCCAGGGCTCTTGTAAATACAGTTCCTCAGGCTTGACCGACATCGTTCCTGATGTTCTTTCTCCCTTTCCTCCCTCAGCCGCCTCCTGGATTATTTTAGAGTAGAATATCACAAAGTAGAACAATGCAAACACCATTGTCGTTGGTTGCAGTATCATATGAATACACGTTCCCTTGTAAACCCACACTAAAACTTAGGGGATGGGGTTAAATGAGATGTGTTGGGGAAAAGAATGAGCCAGATCTTGTGACCAAAGCTGAAGTTATCCTGCCTCAGAAGTACAGCACCGTTAGCAAAGCACCCTGATGATTCTTAGAGCCATTAGCATTAACAGTCTAGCCTCTCACAACATGTTTTACTCTCTGTTCAGATTGAGATTTGCAACTACATTGAATAACTGAGCAGGGGTGGTGGGCTGGGGAGGGCCCTACCTTATACAGTGATTTGGCAAAAAACAAGATCAGCACAGACTCAAGCTAGGCTGGTTCTACGTGACTGGCTGTGCTGTATGCAGTCCCTAGTGAAAAAACACAAGGACATTTTATGTCCTTATGTAGTTCTTATGCAACTAGTAGAGCTCACCAACTCTACAAAAGATCACAGGCACCATCAGGTATGGCTCACAGTAAGTAGCACCTATCAATCACCTTTTATCTCCTACATCAATCTGTTGGTTTATTTCATCCCTTTACAGGGATATCATCCTTAACTCTATCCACCAGCACACAGCAGTATTTCTGGACTCTTTTGAGGACCTCTCATATATCAACATCATCTGAATTTATGCATTACTTATTGTTTCTTCCTCTGGAAAGCACTGTTGAGTTTGAGTAACTTCTCTGCTTTTAAACTTTTCTGTATACGCATATTTTTTAAAGCATTTTCACATTTATTTTTCAATTAAAAACCTGCAGCTTGAGAAGTATGTAAAGAGTGTATCCTCCATCTCCTGGCTTATTAAGAACTCTGTAACTATTCTGAAATAGCCTATAAATTCCAGGATAAGCTGCTTAGTATCTGTATTTGCAAATTTCTTGGTTATATATACCTCAGCAAAAGCACATTCTGATTATCCTTATCATAAGGGATACAAACCACAACAAAAAAATTATCAGAAATGCAAAGAGTAAGTGCCTGCCTTTATTTAAAATATATGTGTATTATTGACTATTACTGTGGACAAATCAAGATTTCCACAGACTTGAAAGCCAGAAAATATTTATCGTATTACAAAATGACACTTCAGAAAGTTAATGAGTAAAAAAATTATAGGAATCTAATTTATAGCAGAAAGTCTAAGGGAAAAAAGAAATCACTGGAATCAAGAAAATTAATTTTAAAATTCTTAATTTTAGAAAAATTAAAACATTTTAAAGGTTTCTAATTTACAAGTGAGAACAATTTATGTCTTCAGCAATTTTCACAATAGAATTCCTATTTATTGCTGTGCTCAGTTCATGACTTACTTTTTGTAAGCTGTTGTAGCCAAACTCAAGTTACTGGTCACATTACACAAAAACGGATTGAAAGGTTACATGACATCATATATATATATATATATATATATATATATATATAATCCCATGACTCCTCCCTTTTAAGACTAGAGAAATGTATGAATTCTGTGTGGAATTTTCAGCCATCTTAATAACCAGCATATGTTCACGACATGCAGAGACTTTACTATGTGTCATTGGCTGTGACAAGATGGTAAAGAACACAGTAATGTTTCTGCAGTGAAAACACTTTGTCCCAAATCATGACTACTTTTTAAAATGTGGTAATCTTAACAGAAAGTGTCTTTGTATACTTCTGTAACTAAAATGTTTGTTATTGATGTATTAACCCATTTAATTTTTCTTTAGCAGTTCTTCAATGTGTTTAAACACGCTAGCATCTTCAATGGTTGGTGTTATCTGAAAAAGAATATATAGAAGCATGTGAGAGTAGATTGGTTTTCATTCAGAGATTCTTCTAAATCTAGCCTTCAAAAGCAATCAACAAAAAAGTATCTGGAAAGCTCTGCAGCATAAAAACCTTTTGGGTAAGCCACAGTAGAAATAAAACGTAACATACTACCTTAAATCATAGACCAGTTACAGAACAGTCGTGAGAATCAAAACCATAATGTTGTGCCTTTGGGTGTGCATGTGTGCCTAATTCATTAAAGCACACATCTCCAACTTGCCTTGTATGGCTTTCCACTGACAAGTGCAGAAAGAGCTGAACGTGGTATCTTGCCAGAGCGTGTTTTTGGTAGCTGTTTCACAAACATCCCCTTCTGGAAAGTTGCTACAGGGCCAATGTTAGTTCGAACTTGCTCAACAATTTCATTCAAAATCTTACGCTCTTCTGTCTTTATACCTGGTGAAGAAAGTCATATCCTTTACCTTTTCTGAGACTTTTGCAAGTCTTAGTGACATCAGTATCAGTGAGCTCTCACCTTGTCTGAGTACACACAGCGCAAATGGAACATGTCCTTTTAAAGGATCCTCCTGGCCCACAACAGCACAGTCTGCCACAGCGGGATGGAAGAGAATACACTAAGGAATAGAAAACAGAATTAAACTGAACTAATAATATAATAGATGAACATTTCAGTGAAAAAATTCCACAGTCATGGACATTTAACATAGTTACTTCTTACATTTTGACAGCAAAAGGTATTTAGTCAGTACACCTCAGGATTCCAATTAACATGTGTTGCAAATGTATATGATTGTTTAATTTCATACATATAGTTCATGTATTTCTCAAACAAACACAAGAAGTAAGAACTACAGAAGCACAAGACAGAAATCTAGAACAAACCGAAGGTAATTTCTTTGGGAGAGTATCACATCTTTGGTTTTTTAGTGAGATCTTTGCTGGAACAAATAACAGTAGTCTAACATTATAATTAACCTGGAGTTAAATGCATGGGGTAAGGACCAAAACCACAGAAGCACTCCTATTACAGAGTTATCAGGTCATATTGGTTTATTCTCTCTGACTCATACGTTTTTTATTCTTTGCTGCTGTAAAGGCATAGTTTTAACAAAGGTCAAATACAGGCCCAGCCTCAGTTTGCAGCCAGCCTAGCTCAGCTCACTCTCTTGGAAGCATTAAGTCTCAGCCTCCTGAGACAAAAAAGACAATTAAACCAGAGCCTCCCTCCTTCCCAGCGCACGTTACACAATATCACATTGACAAAAATACCCCAAATTCTCTTTTAGTTAAGAAAAGTAAGACATTTTCTCTTCCTTCCAATTAACTAGCTGAGGTTCTAACTTCCTGGAAAACAGTCTCAGTACATACCAAGATGTGTGTCACCAAGACTGGGACAAAGCTGGGCTTAAGATGCCAAGAATTGTGAATCCTCTTCCAAAGTAACTGGCTATTTTCATGTAGCTATCAGTGTGCCTTTGGACATCTTGCTGTCAACAGTGCTTTTAGCACTTTTCAGTCCTCTGGACTCAGCTACAAAGAACTAAATATGACCCTACACAGAGGCCACATCATGTGCATACAAGGGCTATGTTCTTGCTAACAACTGAACTTCACGTACTGTGTTGTCAAAATCGAAGGCAATGGGATGACTAACTAAATTTTAAGAATAAAGGCCTTTTTTGGTTGTTTTTATTAAGCAGGAATACCACATTTCTACTGGCTACTCATACAATGGCGTGAGAATGAGGAAGACAGGAAAAGTACACAGAAGACAGAGAAAAAAACCTAAAGAAATGGAAAGCTGAATCACTATTGTTCCAATTAACAAAAGGAAGGCTCTTGTTGACCTGTTTGTGAAACTAATGGGGAAGGAACAATTCAAAGGATTTCCTATAACCCATTTTCGAAACAGATTTCCCCATCCTTGGGACATTATAGTCAGAAAGGAGGAACTGGCTCTATATGTCATGGTCACTACAGCATACACTAAGAAGTAAGCATTTCTAGCACACTTTGTTTGTCAGAAGCTATGCTCACTTCACAAACTATGATCTTAGAAATATCCCATGCTAGAAAAAGGGCAAATGGAAAACACTGACCTTAACAGTAGATGCATAGTCTATCAAAGTACAAAAGCATGACCATTTATGCACAGCTTTTGAAACAGGAGTTAAATAGGATGTACACCAGCTACATATACAACAGTGGACTGGGCTTACCTGAGAATTAGAAGGGCAGAGGAGCCTGCTAGAGTAAAAGCTGAAGTTAAATATATACCTCTACATTTGAATTCAGGTGCAGCCTACTTTTTCCAGAAGTCACTGCAACCACACTGACAAATCATACAGGAACAAATCTTACGCAACTCCAAATCTCTATGGTATTTCAGTGCATCACATACACTTAATGCACTTTGGTCACTTCTAGGCCAGAGCCTCAATAATGTATTTCTTTCCTGTTCTGTCCTCTTGACCCTGGCCACAGAAACTTGAGAGCCATATGTAACAACAACAACAACAAAAGGAAAGGAAAATAAAGGAAAGATAATGAAAGGAAAGATAAGAAAAACCCAAGGAATTATGGAAAAGTAGATAGTAAGGTCTACCAGTAGAGTATTGTTTTCCAAAGGAACGCAGGAAAAAGGTCTGCAGTAACCTCATGTTACCATTAAATATCATAATTACCTGCTGGGCATCAAGAGATGCCAGGCATCTCTACCCCTGAGGTAGAGACTTAAGTATTGCCAGTTTGTTTTGTAGTAGCTTGTTTTGGCCATTCCAGACTGTCACTTATTCATAAGAATCTGATGGTTAGTTGGAATATTGCAGTTAGTAGTATTTTTCTTCAGTCTATCCAAAATGCTATCAACATGCCTTTGACTTTTCAAATGCTAACTTCAAATGACTGAAATTAGTAATTAGGAACGACTAAAAAAATTAGTAAATACTAATTTGAAGATTATCAAACTTTGTAAAACAACTGAAAATGACAGAATCACCACTAGACATTTAAAAATTCTTTAAAAGTAATAAAAAACTTAAAGTGAAATAGTTTTGCTGGAATGATCACTGGGCAAATGAGGAGCAGACAGAAACACCATGATCATCTCATGCTAAATTCCTCAGTTTCAAGTCTGTTGCCTCAGATAGTCAAGATTCAATTTAAGTGTTTTTCAGAAAGGGGCAGGGAGGGACACCATAGATTTACAGACAAGAGTCAGATGGACGAAGACAAGCTGAGGTTACCATAATGGCTCCCCTTCACTGACTGGCAAGGTAAACACAACACCTACTGCATTGTGTAAACATGGAGTTCCAATGGTATTAATAGATAGCTTAGACAAAACTAATTGTTTAGAACATAATAAAGCTGAAATACTTAGCCAAAGCATTAACAAAAAACTTGTTATGCTTGCATTGCAGCTAAAATGTAAATGCAGATAATATACTTTCTTGACAAGGTGACTGTCATTTAATTAGATGGCGATTCAATGAACCTCTAATTCTGCATTTACTGATCTTATTGAGAAGCTCATTGTCGTCTTCTTAATGCTTTCCCATTTAACTATGCTGGGCATACATTAACACCACTGTTGGTTTTTAGCTTTGTTCAAAAGGTGAATAGAAAAGCTTCTAGAATGTCAGAGTGATGAAACACTTCTTGTTTCTAGGGGAAGGACTTAACTAGCAGGCAGACAAACAGACACAGATGAATACAAAGGTAATACAGCAGAGGAGGTGATTCAATTAATCATTTGTTATAGTAGTTTCAGATTCAGGCTGAAGCAAAGAAACAATGCCCAGTTCAGCCCCTGAGGGGCTGAGATTCCCTGCTGCACTTTAGTAGGGCAACACAGAAACTGACTTCTAAGGGAAAGAGGCTTAAGCAGACTAAAAGCCACCTTTATGTGAGTCAGGGAAGCAGCTTGTTCAGCTCCCTGGCTGACCGATTCTCAGTGGATTGACTATATTTATCTGAATTTGTTTCCTTCTGTGTAATCAGAATTTCTTCTATTCTAAGTTTCCTAGCCTTTAAAAAACATAGTTGCTAGGTCTAACAAAAAACCAAAAAAATTACAAACAAAAAAATTACTAACAAAAAAATTACTAGTTTTTGATTCAGTGAACAGTTAAATTCAGAGTTCTTGTAAGTGTATATTTTGTACATGCCCAGCACACCTTTTCCTATACCCCCTGAATAAGCAATTGATATGTCATCAGGGAAATTTGTAACTGGCAATCAATCACAGCAGTTCCAGAGAGGTGAGTGAACAATGATATGAAATTCAGACACTATTATGAACTGCACTATTTTCAACTTTTTTGAGTTGCATGACATTAATGACTTTCAATTTAACAGCATGTTTTTTTACAGAAATTTTCATTGTTCATTTAGCACTGCTCATACAGCAAGAGACAAAACAGCTGTCAAGAAACTGTGAAGGAAAGTCTTCAAATCAAGAAATGTGAGTCTATGTGAAAAGAATTCAGCCAACACAGAGCACTACATTTTAGGAATAAAAGTTTCTACTCCTCAGTAACTACGGTAGTTAGTGAAACTACTTGGCATACTGACTCTATATTATCTTAACATATTCCAAAAAAAATACATTATCAGAGCTAACAGCTACACTTCCCATATGCATGTCTTATCAATCCCATGGTACAAACTGCCTATTACTGACTAAATTTACTGTGTTCTGGAAAGCACCTTAATAGGAAGAACCTGAAATATGAAATGCTTTGGTTAAAACACCAATGGAAATGAAAACAAAAAGAGCAGAGAGAAAATGAGAGATTTTTGTGAGATTTTCAGTCTCAACTTGTTCTATTCATCTTTCATTCTTCTATTTTGCTGTCAGGCAATGCTAACCTCTTCAATCGCACCTGCTGAAATTCTGTGTCCAGCAACATTGATCACATCATCAGCTCGAGACAGGACATATAAATAGCCATCTTCATCCATATAGCCAGCATCCATAGTATCATAATATCCCTAAACACAACACAATAAAAAATAAATTCAAAAAGAGTACTAGGAATACCCATTAATTTACCGTGAAACCAACAACAAAAAAATCAACCCTTTTTCACATTAAATATGCTTTTGGTGCTTGAAAGATTTAATTCTGTAATATTTTTCACTATTTTTATGTCATAATATGCCATGCAGCTCGCTTTCCAGAAGGGTTTTGTAGTCTTTGTTAATACAGAACAGAAAACAATAGATAAACCTGGATTTCTTTCCAACTCTGCTTACTTTGATCCCTGACAGCTTGGAGGAGGATGTTGCCTGGATCCACACGAGGAGAATGGAATTGTTACAATATAATGACAGTTGTCAAACTGTCTTAAAGATATTCCTGTTTGCTGTGTCCAAACATACATAACCATCATGAAGCAACTGTACGCAGGAAACCATTCGTCTGACCGATTCACTCATTTACTTTTATTGATCCAAACCTTCATTCTGAACATTTGTATAGGGCCAATCTAGTTATTTCTACAAGGAAAGGAGGAAGCCAATCCTTGGATAGTTCATCTGACAAGAAAACATAACTAATGAAGTAAGGAGCCTCCAACATATTTAGGTGCACAGGAGACAAGTGTGTATTTTGGACTGACACCAAGCTAGCATGACTGCATGTCAACAGGAGTAGTATATTTGAAGCTACACTAGTCTAAGGTTGCAGGCCTATATCTTCTATTAGATCAAATGACATAAAATGGATTTTTGGCTCAGAAGCTTGAGGTGTACTTCTTCTATTTCAGATCTTAAAAAACCCACAGTATGCCCAAGGGCTTAAATTATAGATGAAAAAAAGTTTTATCTTGAAATGCTTTTAATTGTATACACATGTATCAAAGATCTCCAATTAAATTATGATAATTTATGATAAACTGTTATCCAGGTTAAATCTATTATCATTCAGTTCTGCAGGATTACCAGAAATTTATATAATTTATTTCATAATTCTTACTGGAAATTTTTGGAAATATAACTTCTGGAACGTTTCTTCATTTTCCCAAAGACCTGAGAATGCTCCAGGAGGCAAAGGCAACCTTAAATTGAAAAGAACAGAGGGAAGTAGTAAGAAATACAGATATAACAAGTACAACTCATGCTCTCCATTCATACTTGATATTCAGATAAATAATCATTGTTTATACCATCAGAAAACAGTTCAGCTTAATAATATACTGATAACATAAAAAGACCATATATTATTGTGAACATATGCATATAACTCTGTACTGTATCCAGACTTTACCTTTTATATTACATAAGCCCCTCAGTAAAATAATGTTTGATGTAGTAAACACCATATACTGCACTATAAATATGTTAACAACATTCAGCTTTCAACATTTCTAAGGATTAAGAATGTCAGAAATGTGTGCATATATGCTATGATACAGGCAATTTCATTATTACAGGTATCTTTTTCTCGAACACCCATCACAACTCACACGTGCATAGACAGATGGATTATCAAATACACAAATTTTCTGTTTCTGTAAAAAGATGTAGCTCAAAGAACTTCAACCATGAGAATATGACTAAAAATGCTTTTCTTTTATACTGAAACTGTGCTCAATATTATTGGAAATACTGGAGGAGTTCTTTGAAAGTATATTGATTAAGAAGTGAAGTTGAAAAAATTCTGGATTGCTTTATTTGCTGAGTTTTGAATGCAAACTATACACCCCTTCATCAGTTAGCAATATGAGAATGAGAAAATATGGGACATTTCATATACATGTCTGTCAGAAAGAAGAGAAGCTGCAGAAGCCTCAGCTAACAAAGGAGTGGTTGTTTCTTCCTTCAAATCTCTAACAGGATTAAACATAGATTTCTTCAACTGTCTAAAAGAGACATATTCAGCATATCAACACAAGTTTTATCAAGTTTACCCCTAAGGACAGAGAGAAAATGATCATGTAAGCAAACAAATTTATTCAGATAAAATCATAAACACCCCATACAGGTTTTACTAGCATATACCTACATTCCTAACTAGCAAAAATTTAGCTAGAGGTATTTTATTTTCTATTGATAGTGTCCCTGTGACACCTGAAGGCAACATCTCTAGCAGTGAAACACTTCTGTAGCATAGCAACACCGGTGTCATTATAAGTCTCCAGTGATGTTCAGGGCACAAGAACGAGTGCCACCAACTCTGTGACATGTACATTTCTAACATTATATTTGCAAAAAGAATAGTTATCTATCTATCTATATACACACTAATCCTAAGTATGGCATAAATATAAATATGGTTTAAAAAGTACAAACTACATTGGAAAGGTCGTATCATCCAGTAATGGTTCAAATACCTGATTTTTTACAATCCTAGTTTTTTCATCTTAATTTGGTTCAGTTAGAATAACAGAATATACTACTATAAATACTACTTTCTCTGAGGGTTCTGGTTCAACATGTCCAATAAATCACATTCCTTGAAAGTATGGTTAAGAAAGTATGGCCAGAAATGCCAAGACACTTCCCAGGTAGTCACGCAGGGTTCAGGAAGGCAGCTTGGCTTCTGCCCATCTGGAAGGAATTCACTGCCCTATTTTAAGCTTTTCAAGCTTAGTAAGTATCTCTGTGGTATACAAACATGACCTATACAGTGTTTGCCTTGGAAAAAAAAGACTTGAAAAACAATATATTGATCCTGACATTTATGCATTTATGAATTTAAAAGAAAGAAATTCTCTTGCTTAGATTCAAGAGAAACCACTAGAGAATGGCAGTTGCTATGGTTGTTGCCTGGTTGCTAATAGCAGAGCAATTCATAACAGCCTCAGTCATTGCAAATTTTGCACTTTAAATTTATTTAGCAGTCTGAAACATCATTGTGATGGGAGAGAAAGGACAATTCATATTGATAAAGTCCTTAATTTCCCCATAGCTCTATTCAGTACTTTGCAGTTAGTCATTCAACAGAAAAAAAAAAAAATTACTGCTGAAATCAGAAAAGCATTTTACTTTCTGTAATTGTTTAGAAATCTAAACATCATAGTGTGTAACATATCACCAAAAATATAATGCTTGCTCCCACCATTTCATTTTGTTCCATTTGTTCAGATTTTTTTTGGGGGGGGGAGGGGGTAGAGGAGGGCAGGGGGTGTCTTATGTTTGATTGTGGTTTTTTTGTTTGGTTTGTTGGGGTTTTTTTAGGAAAATTGCATTGATAAGTACATCTACAGAACATATTTCCTGAGTCTGTAGAAAACAGATTGCTAAACTAGTGGCTACCACAGGTATCTCTATAGTCCATATCATGGCACAATATGGACAACATCTGAAAATGTGCTTCTGTAGCTTTTTGTGACAGATTACTTGCAATTAAGACTCATTCATCCTCTAAGCAAAAAGTGAATGCCATCTTCCATGTGTCCATCTTCCAGGCAAAATAATTCCAGAGCAATGAGCTCATACAATTCTTTCATGCGAGTAAAGCTCTTAGCATCATGACTGACTGGAATTTCTAGTTTCTTTGCAAACACAAATAAATATTAAAACTAAAAAAAGCAGAATTCAGTTTGCTGGAGCATAATTACATGTACTGGAATTTTGTCAGAACATTAGAACTAAAATGTCCAGAGCCAAAAATACCTCCAACCCACTGCTGTCATGGAGAAGGCTACCATAAATTCCAAAGGGAGCAGAACTGGATCACAATTACATGCAGGGAGCCAGAAGAGATAAAATGAGACAGTCAGAAAATAACAGCAACCCAAAAACAAACATCCCTTCCTTTTCTCAACCTCTCCATAAAATAAAAGGGATGTCTGGTTTCACAGAATCACAGACTCAGTTTGGAAAAGACCTCTGAGATCACTGAGTCCAACCTACGACCTAACACCACCACATGAACTAGACCATGGCACTAAGGGCCCATCCAGTGTTTCATTAAACACTTCCAGGAACAGTGACTCCACCACCTCCCTGGGCAGTCCATTCCAATGTCTATTCTCTCTTTCAGTGAAGAACTTCTCTCTAAACCTCCCCTGGTGCAGTTATAGACTGTGTCCTCTTTTCCTATCACTGGCTACCTGGGAGAAGAGGCCAATACCCACCTGGCTACAACCTCCTTTCAGATAGTTGTAGAGGCTGATAAGGTCTCTGCAATATGGTCTCCCCTGAGCCTCGTTTTATCCAGGCTAAACAACCCCAGCTCCCTCAGTTGCTCCTCATAGCACTTGTGCTCCAGACCCTTCAACAGCCTCGCTGCCCTTCTCTGGACCCACTCCAACAGTTTGTGTCTGCTCTCCCTAGGAGATATAACACTTGCCTACAAGAATTCAATATTTAAAAACTGTTGCCTCTTTGACCAAACACTGAGTTGATACTCACGACCTTTTGGGGTTATTTTTACTAAGAGAGTATATTAACCAAAAAATTCCAGGTATCCAAAAGTAAGTGTGATTGCCCCACACATGGTCCTGCTTCCCTTTCACAAGGGAGAGGACCATAGAAGACCAAGACAGGAGGAAAGAGTTTCCTTCATTATCATTTCCACAGTATACAAAGAAGTTGCTTTGCAAGGTTTTTCTTTGGGATGTATTTCTCTAGCTATCTATTAACACTCTCTCACCCTGCATGCCAAGCCACAAAGCAGCCAGTGTTGACCCTTTGCATCTGCTATCAGTTTGAAGTTGAACTATCCCTTACAATAGTCTCGCCTTGATTTTTTCATATAGTCCTAACTGTGGTGGTGCCTTCTGTCTTATCATAGCTTCTTCCTTCTGCAGAAGACAGTCACAAGCTTCAACAAATATAAATTTAAGACAAGTTTGCTAGTTTTTTCTAAAACATGAATGTGTTTAGCAGCTATATTGGATCAGGCTAACTAGAGTCAACTCATCCCATTTAACTAACAAAGAAGAGGCACAGTTTCAAATCCAAGTGGATGTTCAAGCCCAAATTCTACACTGAGATAAATAAAAACATATGAATGAAAAAGTTTACATTTGGATTTCAAACCTCAAAGAGTATGTATAAGACTGAATTTTGATCTCACTTATGCCAGTTTTTCACTAATACAATTACAGCAGTACAATTATGGCACTCTCCATTTACTTCAGTGAAATCAAGATTAAAATTGTAGAACTACAAGAATATAGATCCAGGCCCATTTCTCATTTCAAGGTTGAACACATTTAGAACAGCATTAGGAAAACCAGGTAAACTGTGTAAATTAATGATGTAAAATATAGGGGTTCATTTAACAAAGATTCACTCTGGTTACACTTTACAAAGATAAGGAAATAATTTCATTATAAATTGGAGAAACTAAGACAGAGGATAAGCTCAACAGCATAAAAAAAATCCTCTGAAGTACTTTAACAGGAACTGTTTTCTGTTAGAGAATTTTAAATTACAATCATTATTTGGTTTTTAAGCATTGTTTCAAAATTCATTTAGTTTTCATACAACACTGGCTGACCTTTCACAGAGCAGTCCACCCTTCACTTTAGCCCAAGAAAACCTGACTCCCATGTATCACACCCTTTCAAAATACCACTCATCAAGATTGTGTAAAGTTCCTTGTTAATGGAATCAAGCAATTATAGACAGAGCACTCAAAAAATAATTTACACAGAAAATTAGATTTCTGGAAGTACAAATGAAAGTCAAAAAACTATTGGAAAGGCTATCTTGCTGAAATTCAGAAAAGACATAATTTTATTTTATGGTAGACAATGACACAGGCTGTTTATTACAGCCAGTCAAAGCAAGTATAAGTCACTGTTAAATGAGTCTGGTCTTGTGAATGCAACTAAATCATCTTGACTGGCAGCTATAATTATTACTCAGCTTTTATGTAGTGCTGTGCATAAACATCACTCTTACAGAAATTTTTGATTGCAAGTTTGAAAGGCATCTGGAAGGTTTTTCAGACACCAGGAACAACAGCACATGAAAAAGGGTGGAGAAGAGGATCTCAGTCTGCATGAAATACTACTTTAGTTAGCTGAAGAGGGTCACAAAAGTAGTTGGTATCAGTGTGGATTTTGTAGAAAAAATAGAAAAAATACAGTTTAGTGGGGAAGAGAGAAAGCCATCAAAAACTAGTGGAAGTGACTGGAAAATGTTCAAAATAAAGAAAGTTCAAATGCCATTTACATGTACTCAGCCAGAGATCGGCTAGAAAACCCATCTTTGGACAAATTGCTTTCACATTGGAAGTCCCACTTATTGTTTTACTTGTAAAGGAAAAAGACACAGCTGATAAACATGTAGAAGGCTGTCAGGGAGATAAATCTTTTTCTTTTGAATAGATTCTTTTTCTGAACTGACCTCCCATGTAACACAGGCTAAAAGATGCCATCTACTGCCTGAACCCCACAGTTTTTAAAACAGATATCTAGGTTTGACCTAGAAAACGTCAAAGTAAACAACTAGCCTCCTAAGAATTTGCTCCAGTTCTTTAATACCTTCGCTATTAAAATGGTGTTTTATTTCTCACCAGAATACATCTAGCTTCAGCTTCCAGTCTCTTTATGCTAGATTAAACAGCCATCTCTCAGAGATGGGGGTATCACAAGTTAGAATGTCCAAATGTTGACTCATCAAGTCTTACAAGATTTTTCTTTATTTTTTTTAAATGGGATGCCAAGGTACTACATTGTGCTGCAAAAGATTACATCTTTTTCTTTACCTTTTCTTTCATTTAAGTTCTCTTGGTTAGCATTATTGTGCATGTTAAGAATTACATTCCTGTCCTCAGGTTGCTTCAGATTTCCACATCAATACCGATTTTTTTTTGAATGCATTGTAAGAAATATTGAATGAGTAAGATTTTTATTAAACATTTATTTACTTGCTAAATACCATATAAAAATTGAACACCATACCACAAACACGGAAACTGTAAACGGGTTGCTTACCTCTGAACAACATTTCTTCCACTAAAGGATATCAACTTTAAGGTATTCGCTTCAAAAGTACTGTCATGTTTCTGTTTGGCTAACTTAAAATCTATAATCATAAGAAGCTGTAAATTTATCATTATGATTTCTATATAAATATTGACTATTAAAATTTATCACGAATAAATATTATTTTTAAATGCTTTACATTTTTACAGTACTGTACATAAAGTTATGCGTGATTTCATTCTATATAATGGAGTAATCATTTGAATCATTCTAACTTTTGATAGAACATTTTATTTTTCTTCCTCCAATAATTCCAAATTCAAAAAAAAAAAAAATCCACAACATTAATACAGAGCCTCTCACACAACCCCTAGCATCCAGAGGGAATTCAATTTTTTTCAAAATCTGTTATAGCAGACCTGAACGAGAAAGGAGTGAAAGGTTGGAGAAAAATCACCCCCTCCCTTTCCTGTATGGGTTGGGTGCCATTATCAATAAACCTTCAGAGAAGCAATCCAGGGCACAACCCCACATACACATTCCAAATGAAACTCATGGTCTTTGAGGTTACCACATTATAAACCAATGTCACACAACAGTACATCAACAAAGGTATCTAGGTTCTTTTGCCTGGTCTGAAAAAAAGCACTATGCTGGGCAAAGAGTTCCACACATGGCAAACATATATACAGGGTTAGGTGTCACACTACATGAGCAGACTGATCTTCATGATGGCCAGGGGTTCTATACCCAATGCACAAACGAGTTTTTCAAAATTATTATTTTTCACTTCTCTTTCTCAAGCCCCACATTGGGAAAGCTCAATTTTGACTAGATTTACAGACAACTGTGGGGATGGGAACTCCAATAAAATGAACTCCCTCCCCTTTTTATTCAACTTCCCTAATACAGAGAGACAAAAAAATGCAAGGCCATTATAAGTGAAAAAATAAAAACTTACTAACAAGGAAAAACAGCAGCACCACAAAGATACAAGGGAAACAGCTTACCCAAAAAAAAGGGAACTCACCGCATCATGTAGTCCCCCAGGAAAAAGGGGAAAAAGAATGGCAGAGGGTCCTCCCCACCAACCACCTCTGTCTGCCCAACCAAACAAAAGGAAAACAACAGGGTAAAAGGGGTAAAAGGAAAAACCCAGGAAAACTGCACTGCTCACAAGGAGCCACACTACCAAACTGGCCACTCCACACCGCCCAATTAGGTTCAGGTCTTGACTGCAGTGTTGGGCGAGCGGTGAGCGAGTGGCGGTGGTGCTCTGTGGGGGCAGTCTGGAGGCTGCAGTCCTGCTGGGCCACAGCTGTGCCTGAGTAGCAGCAGTCCAGAGCAGTGGTGGCTCAGGGGCATCAGCAGCCCCTGGCTTGGCTGCTGTCTCTGCGAGGCAGGGACAGCTTCTGGCAGCAACTGAGACCCCAGAACAGCTTTTTACTCAATGATAAACACCCCATCCTCTCACTGCGCCGTGGGATGGCCCCCTTCAGATGATGTAATGGTATGAATATTTATCAGTATGGTTCCCTTTCCTGGCTTGTAACCACGACACATTTAGATAAATGCCTAAATGTGGGGACACAATAGGGAAGGTAAAGTCTGGTTTTAGGATTTTGACAATAACTCCAAACAGGATCTTCTACTACAGCAATATCACTCCTAACAGGCAGTTAAAGATAGTAAGGACTCAGAAATGTATGCACACATCTTCCAACATTAACTATTAGTATATATAATTCAAATTGTTTGGCAGTTGCTGAGGATGGAGTTTATTCCACTTCTTTTTTTGGCAGACAAGACTAAGCACCTATCCTAAGTGAATTGCGCCACTCCTGCAGTCACTGGAGAGGCATCAGCACACCTGGAAGACAATTTATTCCGTCCTAGTTGAATACCTAATGCAGACAGGATCAATTTTCTTACAAAATACCTTTCTCTCTCTCCATTGATTACAAGCCTATGTTTTATTATGGCTTCAGGCACTACAGAGGTGAGAGCTTTGAAAGATAACTTTCCACTCTGACCTGAGTTACTGATACTTCAAACCACAGTCTATAAAAGGTTGGAGCAATTTCAATTATTTTTGCTCTGTAATGGAATGCATGCACATACTTCACAATGTAATGAATGCACAATCCTACATGTGTCACAAGAAAACTACATCTAAATACGAGTCTGCTGATTCAGGGACGATCATGTGTGCACTTAAAGCCATGCCTGCGTGTTCTTGGGGACTCAGCCAAAGATATTGAGATTTAGGCAGGGTATAGACTTCATCCTGAAAATACACAGTACAATAACTTCATGTGATACTACTTTGGCCTCCACAGTGGTCTAGTTACAATAGGTTAGTAGCACAGCTAAGCAAAAAACCTCCACACCTCAGCAATTTCGCCTCCTATGCCAGCCCACCCACACTGTTAGTGCTGCACATCTGCAGCACAGTTCAGCGGCTGCAGCTCTTATGTCTCTCATCCCCAGCTCATATACCTGTTGCCTCAATCCTCAGCTACCTTCACTAACAATTCATTACAATAGGTACATGTGTCCCAATGCTTCAGCTTTTGACAGATTTTCAGTTCACTGAAGGTTAATGCTAATCTTTTATTTCCTTCCATTCCTCTAAGCAAGCAGTAAAGACTCTGAACTACCACAACTCTCCAGAAATTTACCACAGAAGAAATGGATGAATGCATTTTGTTTTGGACTTGTATTTGCTGGAAGTCAGGAAGTGTTCAGAGCTGAAGTATTTTCTGCGACTGAAAACAGAGGTGGTTACAGCTACCACACTCATCACAGAGCAGGAATCTGTCTGAGGAAAATGCCATTTGCCTAAAAGTTGTGAAACATCCAGAATATAGAGCTGTCATGGGCTGTGGGGAGCAGCAGCCTATCGAGTGTTACAGGAATAAGGGAAGGTTCTGGTAACAGTTGAAAAGGCAAGAAGACAAGACAAATGTAACTGATGTTCACATCTAAACAGATGCTATCTAAACAGAGATCTTTTTATCTATGAGAAGCGCCAAGAAAGGTGTACTTTCAAAAAGAATATTAAAGCTTATGGAACTCATCTGACACGAGTCTGGTAAATGGTACTAAAAATCATGATGCACAGTGGGTTTTTCTTTTCTTTCTTTTGGCTGTAGTCCTGTCCTGTATGTATTTTGTCCAAGTACCACTACAAATTAACACTGTTTCATGCAAAGCACACAGAGAGACATCTTTTTTTTTTTTTTTTTTTTTTTTACAGAGAACAGAAAATACATGTTCTCCCTCTAGAAATGTGCATCAATTAGGATTAGGAAATAGCGAAAGAAGAGGCAGTATCACAACTGTAAACCAAAGCATGTCAATCTGCAGTGCTGTACTATTTCACTAAAGTAAAAGAAAAGTGTGAAGGGAATGATTCAGTATGTTGCTCATACATCACAGCAGGAAGCCTTCATCCTATGTCAATAGAATGGTAATTATGAAAATGGTAAACTCTGCTGTAGTCTAAGAAAGAAAGCCAGCAATCCACCCTCATTCACTCACACAATTTCATCTGCAACTCTTTAATATCAGTGGACAGTTTGGTATTCGTATCAGAGACAGACACACTTTTCAATCCTCATTACTTCATTGTGCTTTATATATACAAACTTTAGTCAAAAGACAATCAAGCCAGGTAAGAAGCTTCCCTTAACTGTAAGATACTTATTTTTCTTACTTTACCACAATATTTCCCAAAGTCTTGGCCTTCACTGGTTCCTTATTTTCATCCAGAATCATCACTGTAAAAAAAATAATATAGGAAGAAAACCCAAGTTTAGTAGTGTATTTTTAGGTGGAGGAAAGTGTCTTTCTTTAGGGATATCAATTTATGTCACACTTCAGAGTGGTAATACACCAAACAACAAAAGGAATTAAGTAATTTGGGAGTGCCAAACTGGATAATGTCATGGCTTTATCAACATTCAGCCTCAAGCACAAAAAGCACAAATGCTCAGGCTCTGGCAACAGAAATAGGGAAACAAAGTCTCAAAAGGGAAAAACAGAGTACTGAAATTTAAAAGCAACCTTGATACTGGAAAATCTAAACTTCCAAATAGCAAAGGACCATTAAAATACACAACAAATATAAAGAAAAACTATGTGGGTAACATGAGCAAGAAATACCAACTTAGAAGGTTAATCCAGTTAATTTACTATTGGCAGTAAATAACTATACCTGCTTTTCGAAGGCTCTCAGGAGTCTCAGAAAGATGCCCCCCAGCTAACAAAGTTTACTGTAGTCTAGCACAAAGAGATAAAGAACCTTGTGAACTACCCAAATCTGCAGAGCAGGGTAATGTTCAAGTACAGCACAGAATCCAGACCTCCCAAATGAAGCCTCTTCCCTGGATGACACTGGCCCACCACCTTCAGTGAAAGAATCATATCCTGATACTGAAATTTCTGAGGAAAAACACCTGAAATAGCCTCTTCCTTGCAGTCATCTGGGAAATGAAGATACTACAACCACCTATTCCACCTAAAGATGTGGGCATAAGAAAGGAATGACAAATACCAACTTGACCTCTGATAAGTTAAATAAAGTGAAACAACTCAACCATAGAAGAAGAGGAGGGAAGATTTTTGACAGATTGGGCTGATAAGGATTTTAAAACATGCCTTTTGAAGCCTCCTGAAGCAAAATAAGCAATGTTCAGCTGAATCTAAATTACTACAAATAATCTTACATTCTGTATTAAAAGGTCACAGAGGAAACGGGGAAAAGAAAATTACAGACTTCTGACTAAAACTCTGCTAAGGCTTGTATGAGTCATATCATATCCTATCTGTCCCAAAAATGCCAACATCGGTCATTTACTATTTCTAGCTGAAGCTATTCCTTCAAAGAAGATGGTAGTTTTTAAGTAACTGAAGAGAGCCTGCTGAAAGCAATGGCTCAGCACATAGACACAAGCAAGAACACAAGGTCAGTTTTACAAATCAGTGACTTGGTGTAACTGGGACATAATCTGCAAACACCTTTCGAATTTATTTACTGTTAGATGGTCTAAGAACATCGTAGATTTGTTCAGGTTAGATTTGGAGAATTTAGGCTCAGAACACACAATGAGAAGACCCACTCATAGGTAGTTTTCAATGTTTTCTCTCCTATTTTTATGATATTAGAGTAAAATATAATCTTTTTTTGTAACTGATTCATCAAGGTACTAATCTCAGTCTTTAGTCTCCTCCTTGCAAGCTGCTTATTTCAATGTAGAAAAATCTGGAGAATGGGGATACTATATTGTTCACTCCTGAATTACTGAAGAACTGACTTATTTCTTCAAAATATGGAACTTGCTTCAGTATGAAAATGCAATTAAATTATCTGGAAAGGATTCAGTTAGATCAAAGAAAAATCACAACAAAATCTCTGACTTAAAGCAACAGACCTAGAAATTAACATGGTATCTTGAATCACTTATAAATGTAAATTGTGCCACTGCACTTTGATATCATAACTCTTATTCTCTGTGTTCTTAAAAATCAGCAAAGAATCAGTTTACTTTTAGCAATATGTAATAGGAAAGAATTTGTTTAAAAAAAGTGGATCTTGTATTTATATTGCAGCATAAATACAACATGACATCAATCATTAAGAGCTGCATGTAAAATCTAAGAATACAGAATCTATCATCTAAATGGTTTAAGTATCTCCTCTAATTAATACAATAACAGTAGGAAAACAACATCAAAACAGAAGTGGGTGACAGCAAGACAGTGGCCACTATAGTAATCTCAAAAATCAGTATTTTATGAATGGCTGCATTACAGGACATAATTGGTCAAAGACTGAAAGAGGCAAAGTTATACCATAAATCTTTAGTCAATTTTAGTGCTCATTTTTTGTTTCCCTTATAAGGTATGGTAAAGATGTTGCCTTTATTCTACTTGAAGTAATTCTTTAATTACACTAGTCCCAATGTTCCAAAATATTAATTGGAAATTTTTATACTCCTGCTACTCATACCTCTTTCTCATCTTAAATCTCATCTGATAGCATGCATGATAAAATTACGTTCTTCCACTCTTTCCTATTTATTACAACTCTGGACAAACTCATTGGCATTGTTTTAAAGTTGTTTTTAAGCTACTGCTTATCCTCATGCCATAACTGTAAATGCCAAAACCAAGAGCTGCTGAAAATGTATTTTCTTTAACGCTCACTGCCAATTATATATATTAGAAGAAAAAAACCATTTTAGTTATTGTTTTCGGCTTTCTGCCCAATTACGTGAGAACTTTTCCTGAAGACAATCTGATCTTTAATGTAATTATTTTTCAGACTTCAAGTAATTCTTGAAACCATGTTAAAATCAGGATTCCCAGGTATTAAAATATTTTTGCACCCTCTGCATGCAAATACCTTCCAGACAATGAGTGCTCATCTTTTTCATTTTGGTCCAAAGCCTGCCATTTCTCCCAGCTGGAAATAAAAATGCTCCTCAAATACTGAAAGATAATGTGCTTAACAACTCTCTCAAGTTGTGTTAAAGTGTAGAAGCATTATGGAGAAGTGTCAACAAGTGTTGTATCACAGTATGTGCTATCCCTTTCGTATCATAAAGGCAAGAGTAGTTGATCAGTTTTCTTGAACGTAACTGAATTTCTTATTCACAATCACATTCCACAACACACAAAAAAGCAGAGTTTCCTGTTTCAGGAAGGAGGAAAAGGTGTAAGTAACACTGTAACTTGCACTCGCTACAATTAAGGATCGCTTTACTGAGGAATACAAACAATGTCATTTTCTAATAACATTTTTAGCATAGTATTACCATTATATCCTGGCACGGCTTTTCCTGCCTGTCCGGGTGGAGGTGTTGTAGAGTTTCCCAAACCAATACAGGAAGCAGTAATTGCAGAACCAGATTCTGTTAAGAGAACACAAATATCATCACTTAAGGTTGTTCTTAGTTTTCTTATCGGTTCTAAGTTTTTTAATGCTAAGCATATCAAAATAAAAAATAAAATACAATTCCTAGACAAGCAATGAAGATTTAGAATTCAGAGAATCATGGAATATCCTGAGATGGAAGGGACCCAAAGGGATCACAGAAGTCCAACTCTTTGCCCTGCATAGAAGAGCCCCAAGAATCACACCATGTGCCTGAGAGCATTGTCCAAATACCTGTTGCACTCTGTCAGGCTTGGTGCTGAGACCACTTACATAGGAAGCCTGTTCCAGTGCCCAGTCACCCTCTGGGTGAAGAACTTTCTCCTAATATCCAACCTAATCCATCCCTGACACAGCTTCATGACAATCTCTTGGGTCCTATCACTGGTCACCAGAGAGAAGAGATCAGTGCCTGCCCCTTCTCTTCCTCTCATGAGGAAGCTGTAGACTTCAATGAAGTCTCCCCTCAGTCTCCTCTTCTCCAGGCTGAATAGATCAAGTGACCTCAGCTGCTCCTCATATGGCTCCCTTTCCAGACCCTTCAACATCTTTGTAGCCCTCTTCTGGATGCTATTAAGCTTAATATCTTAATTAATTATCTTAATATTGTGGCTCACAAAACTGCAACAATATTCAAGGTGAGGCCCCCAACAGTACAGAGCAGAGCAGGACAATCCTCTCCCTCAACTGGCTGGCAATGCTTTGCCTGATGCCTCCCCGGACACAGTTGGCCCTCCTGGCTGCCAGGGCACTGCTGACTCATATTTAACTTGCCATCGACCAGGACCCCCAGGTCCCTTTCCATGGGGCTGCTCTCCAGCCTCTCATTCCCCATTCTGTACATCTGGGGCTGCCCTGTCTCAGGTGCAGAATCCAGCTCTCGTCTTTGTTAAACTTCCTTGTCTCGCTTCTACTTACTCTGACAAGCTCTCTGTATTCATTCCAAGTGGCCTGACCCTGCTTCCACTTAAGTAATGACTTTATTCATCCACAGTCACTTGCCCTCTTTGCCTTATTTCTTTGTCATTGGGATGCAATGTTCTTGAGCCTGGCAGAAGTGATTCCTGAGTATCAATAAGCTACCCCACCTGAAGGTATTCATGTCTTCTTGATGAGCCATAATGGGCTATAGAGACAGCTGCAACACCTCAAAAGGTGTCAAATACTCCAGAAGTATCCAATGACTCAAAGTATTAAACTATCCAGCGTAAAGCTCCCCGCCCCAGCAGAGGTACCAGATATGTTCCCACCGGAACATGAGCCTTGAGTTTTGGGGCTTCCACCACGACCTTGACAGATCTGGACTGTGACTACTTTGACGGAACACCACTTCAACCAACTGCAACAACATAGGCTCATTGCTGGATCCAATGGGTATCTTGTGGGTCCTTCCAGTCACCTGGGGGATCGGCAGCCGTGCTCTGGCTGCCTGTACAAGCACTGCAGCTGCACTCCAGCGCCATGCAAGCATCTGCCAGTATCAAATCCCAGCCATCCACCACTTCCTGCCAGCACTGACTCTCCAACTATTCCAGCCAGGTTTTCCAGGAGTGGGGGAGGTGAACCACGGCGGAAGGGCAGCCCATCTTGTCTCTGTCCTGAGGACACGTGTTTTTTCCAGGTGGGGGAGGCCAGCTGCCATCTCAATTTGGTCCGGTGGGTGGGGCTTCGGAATTTTCTCATTATCAGTTAGTCTAACCCAATTTTATCAGTATTGTTATTAGCATTCTTCTTGGTAAAGAGTTATCTTTTCTCTTACATCCAGGTGTATTTGGTCTCTCTCTCTCTGTATTGGAGAAATCAGGGGTATTGAATCTGAGAGAGAAGACTTCTGTCCAAGGTCACTGCCACTCCAAATTGTCTCAAACTGAGACATTTTTAAATGCTGCTGTAACTCTGAGTCACAGAAAACCAAGTGTAGGTGGTTTAAAATATTAGCAGGAACATGGGATGAGACTACTGCTTTAAACACACTGCTTTATCATTCTGGATATGTCCCAAGTCTCAGGTCACTTGTCCTGAAATTCATGGTCCATGTGCCCTCCAAGTGCCAGCAAACAAAGCAGGTTTGTTTCCAGCTCTAAATGTATATCTGATCGGTATGGTCAAATCTATTTTCAGTTCTCTTGCATTAGGAAATTAGAGTTACTTTTGCTGAGAATTTTCTCAGCCTCCACAGCATTTATCTGCCACTTCAGAAGATGTTATATGACTCTCAAGTGCTTAAAGAAATAAGAAAAAGAACAAAATTACAGACTCTTGTGGAGATTTTACAGTAGGTTTTAGTAAGTAGCTGAAAATTTAACTTTAACAGTATGGCTAAGCTAGGGCCTAAATCCAGCTGTGGGACACAAAATAAGAATTATCAACCCTCTATGCTAATAAAGACAGGCTAAAAAGTTTCCTTGGTTTTTTTTCTAATCTTTCCTTATTCCTTCTTCTACATAATGCACATTCCCTGCACAATCATGGGTGGAATTTTTTCTTCCAACAAGCAGAACACCCAAGCTACAATTACAGTGGTAGCACAATATCAAAAGGATCTACCATAGCCTATCTGTGATCACACTGAAAAGTTGCAGTAAGAGAAAAACACAATTTACTCAACAGTTTGGTAGCTTCATTTTCTGCACAGTATTTATACTGAAGACTTTTCCTCTTTTACTTGAAACAGAATGAACAGTGAATTGGAAAAGACAGTAGAAGGGACAGTTTCTTTTTTGATTGTGTTAGAAAAGAAGTGGTAGCAATGTGTATATCTAGTGAGAGCTAAAAACCATACACTAACAGATCAGGCAAGAAAGGTATTCTCCTATTACCAAAACACAGGCATTACGTTTGCTACTGAGAGGTAGGGAATACCTACCTCTGTTAGCCTGATGGCCAGTAATACTGGTGTGAACTGGGAATTAACAAACACTTCTAATTAAGAGCTCTCAATTCAAAAACCCTAAAAGGAGGCAGAGAATCTGAAATTCCTGAAAATTAGTTTGTGTTTGACTCTCTAGTATATCGTGAGAGAAATCAACAGAAACTAGAAAGGAAACTTCATTACACTAATTTGTCTGTATTTGTCCCTGCTTTTTGGACAACAGTGAATACAACTGAATGAAAGTCCACTTATTCTAAAGAATCATAAGTTCTAAAACTTTGTGAAAAGGTCCTTATAATTGTTGCTATTTCTTCTATTGTCTTCTCAATTATCAATGGATATATCATTTTCATATTTACCCAATACTCTAATCTCTAAGCCATACATTCAGTTCTCAGGGGTCAATAAAACTTAGTATATACATGAAAAAAATACTGGTTTTAGGTGCTTTGATTAGATATTAATTCAGAAAAGGAATCCCAAAAGCATCTGCTCCTTGTGTTAGGTTAACTGTTCCTGAATGCTAAAAATTCCCTTACAATGTAGAAGCACAAAGGAGTACTGTCAAAGGACAGCATGAAGCTTTATGATGTATGTTTCTTGGGAAATCAACACATATCTTCCAAATGGGATTCTGGATTGAAATATCTATTTCCCAAGCCTCTGAGGAAACAACAGCCTCTTTCTAGGACAGCATTTTTTATCACAACGAAAACATACTGAAGTGAAAGGGGAATTCCATTCAAATTTATCCTGAAATCATAAGTGTTCAGAGGAACACAGAAAAATAGGTACTGGTAAGATACTTTCCTTAACAATGAGGTGTAATACATGTACTGTGTGGCCCTTTTATGGATTTCCAATAAAAAAAGTTGCTTAGGAATCTTTGGTTTCAGTTAAGATTGGTTTCTCTACAATTCAAGTCAGGACCTATATGCAGGTTACAAGACTTAGGTCTCAAAAGTTAAAACAGCAAGTTTGAAGAAGGACAATGCCTGTCAAGCGTACATTGTATTTCTTCTATTCCTTACATCAAGGTTTCTGAATTTATGAACAGACAACCCTTACCTCATTTAATGGCACTCATTTATCACTGCAGGTTATGTGAAATTAATGCACAGCACCTAGAGAGATTCCTCATTCTTCCAGGGACAACTGGATCACAAAAACAATTTCCTTTCTGCATAACACCTTACAATGTGCCAATGAAACAGTTATTTAGGAGAGCAATGTTTTACATTGGAAGAGCAATGTTTCACAACTAGTTTGGTAAATGCATTCAACATCTGCTCAGGAGATGAGCAGATTTACCTCTGAGAATAACAAAAAGCACTTCACTGAGACAGGGAAGAGAGAGTTAATGACAGGTTGTCTTAAAATCAAGGTTGTTCAAGTGTCCCAAGTCCCTCCTTCTGCTTTTTCCTTTCAGAATAAGGGCCAATGTAAAAAAATAGCCCTCAGTACTGACAGATGTGACATTCTTTGGTTTGTCCTGCTCTTCAAGTATGTGGAAGATACTATTATAAAGATATTTCAATAGTATTGAAATATCAATATAAATTGGAAAGACTACATGAGCAGTCTGATACAGGTATTTTTGTTGCATTTGCACCTGGGAAAACAATTCTTATGTCAGAGAAGGTACTGCTGACCCAGAAATAAAAAGTGCATTCTCCTAAAAGTAGCAAGGGGAGTCCATAAGTGTATACCTGACTTTATTCATCAGAAAGCTTCCACCTACCCTTGTGCCTGACTTGAAGAAGCTGTGCTCTGCCAACCAATGCAAAGCAACAGCTAGTAAGTTCTGTGTTCAAAACTGTCTTGCTCATTCACAGTCAACAGTCAAGTTCAATTAAAATAAACAGATTTGAAGTAACTCAGGACTTTAAATATGAAAAATATACTACTTACTCTGTACCACTTATATTCCTGATACATTATAATTTCTAGATGATGTCTCACATTCTGTCAGCATAATAGACTGTCACACTGCTGAAATATATTGGGCTTTTTGGTAGGAAGTACTTAGGGAAAACATACTGCATTTTGACAATAATATTGCAGCTTGGTCTGTGCTAAGTGGGTAATATAAAGCTGCCTGGTTT